AGTGTTGATGATAGATCTATCTGGTGTAATACGTCTCATCGTGTAACAATTCCAAGAATAGATGCAGAAGTCAATAAGTTCGATGTTTCCCATAGATTACTTTAGAGTCAGTTGAGTGGGCTCCCCGAGGGTTTCTAGTATCTTCTGCTGAAAAATTCTCCCTTATTTCGACCTTTTCAGCCCTTTTTACACCTATTTCTTCCATTGGTACATTTACTGAGGAATGGTTACTTCATACGCATGAGCTATTCCGCCCCATCGGGCACCCTACTCCAATGTATTCAAGTAGGAAGTTTCAGTTTATAGTTTGCATAGGAGGGAATCCATCGCTCGCCCTGCCTTACCCAGTAAATTTACACTGTCCTTAAAAGCGAATGCCGACTGATCCTCGAAATCAGTTATCCATCCTCAAGAGATTTTTTTGGAGAAAAAACTACCCTGCTTATTGCTATAGAGGCGCCTTCGCAACAAATAACGCGCTCCAATCCGAACGAATTTCGTTGACACAAGCAAACTTCTCGGCCATTTACCCTCAAACAACCCAAACTGTGGTTAGAATTCCAGTCTATTGTGACTCTTCTTCCATTTTAACTGCCCACTTCTCAACCGTTCGGAAGGAGTCTAGAGAAGACCCATCTACTGTTATTTTGAGCTTTGCAATCGTATCTGCCATGTACGGTTGTCGCACGCGGTGACCGCTTGCGAAACAGCTGCATTTTTGTCGGAGTTCCCGTTGGACAATCTTTTCCTTCCGCTTTTTCTTTTGAAAATAACGTTTTCCTCTTTAATGCTTAGGTGTAATCATAGGAACTGTTTGTTTATTTGTTCTATTCGATTTGGCAGTGAATTCTGGCTAGTTTCCAAGAGCGAACCAATGTTTTAAAGCTGAAGTTTAACTGTTGTTTCAGATAGCATGATGGAGGTCGATGTGCCATTGCCACCGGCGGTGATTAATTTGCCATGGGTAGAGAAATACCGTCCAGAATCATTGTCGGATATGATTTCTCATGAGGAGATTATCAAGACGCGTATGTTAACCTCCCTTTACAATACCCTTTCATTAAGCTTTTTTTTCAATTCTGTCATTTTTGCCTTATATTCTGACTTATCGGGAAACACCACGTTCAGCGTTGAGTTTTCGAACAATTTACTTACTCAATCCTCCGTTGCAGTTACTCACTTTGTCAAATCGGACAAACTACCACATCTGCTATTTTATGGGCCTCCGGGTACCGGAAAAACAAGTGCTATATTAGCAGTGGTAAACACGATGTACTCGGACAAACAGCGAAAATCTATGGTCCTTGAGCTTAATGCCTCTGATGATAGAGGAATTGGCATAGTGAGGTGAACAGTTCAACATTGTCTTTGTGTTCACGCTTTTGTTCTCAAATCGCACTCGACATTGGAGTAGTTATTTATGTTGATAGGTAGATATTTGTTGTTTTTTAGCGGCAGTGATTGAAGCTATCCGTTTTGGTTACAATAGGGCCACTCCCCTGATCCTACATATTGGTAGATTCAGTACAACGACATTGTTAGCTCCCGTATTTTTTTCCTGCATATTGCATATAACGAATTTTCGGGGCTGACATCAGTTTCCACTAAGCCTTTAGCTTTCGCCCTGGAGTACTGCTTGCCATTAAAATTTAGCATAACTTGCAAAACGCTTCAGAGTTTGTCAGTTGTGTCAATGACGACTTCATTGGCAGACTTTGTTGATTGTGCATGAGCCATGTGTGAAGAACAGTTAATGGTCATTTTATGTCATTCTCATAGTTGCAATCGATTACTCTGCAATCGCTTTATAACAAGATTTCTATTGGTTCCCACGATAACTGGTTTTGGTTATTTTACTTTGTAAGTCATAGATGTTTACAACCGAACTTCTCCTGTATAGACCCTATTTGCCTGCAATCCTTTTTCCACAAGCTTCATTTGATGGAAACTTGCCCATTACATTCGGAACGACTTAAAAGTGCTCTCAAAATTTATGATTCTTTCTCAAGTTATGAGTCTTCACTTTAACTCATAGTTTTTATGATTGCAGGGACGAAATCATAACTTTTGCTCAAACGAAATCACTCCAGAGAGATAAGGAAACCACTGATTTGAAATTTGTTATTCTTGACGAAGCTGATGCTATGACAAAGGATGCACAAAATGCTTTGAGAAGGTAGTCTTTATGACCCTTGCCACAGATTCTCCCAAAATTTTGCAAAGCTCTATTTTCAGAGTAATAGAGAAGTACACGTCGAATGTCCGTTTCTGCATAATCTGCAACTATCTCTCCTCTATAATTCCTGCCATTCAGTCTCGGTAAGATACAAAGCATTTTTAAGTTTGATTGTTTTATTTTATTGGTGATTGTCAGATGTACTCGCTTTCGGTTTGCTCCTTTATCTACAGATCATATCCTACCAAAGCTCAACCATGTGGTAGGTTCCGTTTTTTCATTTCTGAAGGGTCGGTAACGTTATAAAATACTTTTCTCCAGATTACTGAAGAAAAACTCAAAGTAACTGAAGACGGTAAAGAAGCGCTGTTGAAGCTATCAGGTGGTGATATGCGTCGAGTGCTGAACGTTCTTCAGGTAATGTACTGGCCATCATGCCTTTATATTAAATTAAATTGAGTAGTACCGCCATTTCCTTAGTGACTTTTATTTATCTTTTTCTTATTTCGATGTGTTTAGAGTGTAGCAATGGCTTCTTCCGTAATTGATGAGACAAGTGTTTATGAATGTGTTGGGCAGCCTACACCGAAACATATTGAGAAGATTCTGCAAATTCTCATGAACGATTCCTTCGCTTCGTGTTGTCGAAGTTCGTTTTTTTCTTTCGCTTTAACACGACCGTAGATCATGATTTTTTCAGGTTCGATTTAATAATATTAAACAAATTATACCGTTTCAGAGTTGCAGAAAGAGTGTGGTGAAGAAGGTTATGCTCTGGTTGACGTACTTTCTAGGCTGCACGATGTCATATTCCAATTGGACCTGCCCTCAGAAGCAAGTTTTTTCTATTTATTGAAAAGTACATCTAAATTCGAACAGTATTTAAGGAAAACCATTCATATCCAATCTCAGAGTATGATCTATACGAGATCCATATTTGAGTTTTTCCCCCTGTTGAAAACCACAAAGATACGGTCTGTTCCTTTTTTTNACCATTATTTACCCATTTCTATTCTGTTGGTTGATCCCTTTTAGTTGGTAGGAACAACTGTACTGATTGTATTGAGGAGATGCTGCGTTTTGCGGCTGTTCTTCTTGGCAGTATTGATAGGGTACACCTTTTCTCTTCCATTCGTAGTCATTCGACCTTGTGTGATTAATTAATGTGCTCAGGACCTCGAGAATGGAAATACCTCTGCTACATCAGAAGTGGTAAATAACCATACCCCCTCCCCCCCCTCCCTCTCCCACATCAACTCGAGAAGGTTCTGGAGGGTGAAAACTATGCAAATATTGCGTGGCGATTGTTTTCTTTCTTATAGATAATTCCGAAGTTGTTCTTGATATATTTTCATGAGTGATTTCCTGGAAAACGGGGCTTCTGTGCCTTTTCCAATTATGGCTTTAGCTGGGGACTATACATTTCCCGCTGAAAATACGTTTGCATTTTCATCTGAACTTTGATGCATTTCATTACAGGTTATGGTTTGCCTGATTTCCGCTCTTGCTGACACCGAACAACGTCTTTCAGTTGGCGCCTCTGATCGCATACAGATAGGAGGTTTAGTGGGAGCTTTTATGCGTGCTCGTAGAATGATCAAGGAGATAGCTAAGAGATAGGCATCTTAAGTATTTAATGGTAACCTTTCATTTCCCTTCTCTCCGGTTATTCTCACTTACTTATGGCTGACAAAAAACGATCTCTTTTAGGTTTGCGTGTTATTGTAGAACATCCTTTTGCACTTTTTAATTCCTTTGTTTGATGTTAGTTCAGCCATCGTTTGTTTTCCTCATTTTTTGCCTACGGAATACGGGTCTGCAACGTGTTGACGGTCACGTAGTGGATATCGTATTTGTGTTGGTTCCGTTTAATGAAATGCTTTGTGTAAATTTCCGTCTTTCCAGGTTTAAAAAATTCCATTATGCTGTATTTGTTAGTTGACTGCAGGGTTTTT